GGCCCGCTCCGGGGCTCACGCTCATCTGAGCGCTCTGCTGCTCCGCGCCCCGTCTGCGAGCCCACAGCCGCAACACAGACCGACCCCTCGCGTGCCCCGCAGGTGCAGGACCAGGAGACGTGGGGCTTCCCTGCGTACGGCGTGGGCGTGGGCCTGTGGCTCATGGTCTCGTCGCTGCCGCGGCGCCGCCTGGTGCTGAACCACGCGCGCGGCATGTACCAATTCTCCATCCAGGGCCGCACCGTGTATCAGGGCCCTTTGCACCTGATCTACGTGCGCCTGGCGCTCAGCTCCGACGGTGAGGGGCGCGGCGGGCGGGGCAGGGCGCGGGCGGGGCCCGGTGCAGCTCAGGCTGAGCCGGCCCACCTCGCTCGCCCCGCCAGCCTACGGAAGGTGCTTCTTCCAGCTGGTCCTGTGCGGCCACAAGCTGGAGCCGCTGGTGCTGGTGCAGCTGTCCGAGCGCTATGAGGTAGGTGCTGCGCCCCGCCCGCGGCACGCCCCCTAGTGGGGCAGTGCCGCCCTTGCCTTGGGACAAAACGAGGCTTAACACTGTTTAGGTCTCGGGACCGGCCGTAGGGGAGGGCTGGCAGGGCAGGGCTGGGGGCCACATCTCGGGGAGTCTCTCCTGACTGGGCAACAGCCGACTGAAGCCGCTCCCACAGCAAATGGAATTCTTGGGCCGCCACATAGCCCGGAAGCTCAACATTAACTACTTCGACTACCTGACAGTGTCCTACCGGCACGTGGTCCGCCACTGGCCGCTGGGGGCCACCAGCAGCCCGGGCATCGTGCACCGCAAGGACCACACCTACGGCAAAGCCAGCCACTCTCTGTCCGACCTGGACGTGTGACACAGCATGCGTGCACCCCAACCTTCCCCTCCACCCGTGCCCTAGGGCTGACAGCATGCGACCCCACCCACTGGCCTTTTCTTCCGTAAAGCTGCCTTTCTTCTCTGGCGCAGGGCCCGGTGTCTTTCTCTGTGGGCAATGGAAGTGTTGGCTCTCCATGGTCTTCTAGTGCACACCTGCCAGGACTTTAGACAGCCTTGCTGGTGGGCACAAACCCTAGAGATGGAGTTTGAAGACCCATGTAGGGTAGAAACCAGGGGCAGCCTGGGTCTTAGAGGTTGGACAAATCATGAGACAGGTGTGGGACCCACGCCCTTTCCCGGCCACCAGCATTTCACTCCTATCCTGGGCTCCCACCTTCCCCTCTTGAAATTGGTAGCCAGAACTGGGCCTACATGGCCTCACAGGTGTGATCAATGAGTGGAACTGGAGGCGTTGGAATCTGATTGGTTTACCCTGGATCAGGTGCCTGTTCCTGGTCCAACCAGCAATGGAATGGGGCAAGGCCCTGATGAAGCCCTGTGCCCAGGGTGTGGCGAGCTAAGACCAGTAGACCACACCCACTGCCACCATGTCAGTTCTGATTCACAGTGCCCCCACTGGGTTTCCAAGGCAGTAAATCTTTATGCCCCATTTTGCTTCCATGGAGTGAAAGCTAGTGGGCTTGAACTGCCACCTTTCTAGTTAGCAGTCAAATGCTTTAGGCACCACCAGAGCTCCTTATGGTGAGCTAGGCACACCCCAAAGTTACTGTTGCCTAAGCCCTAGGAAGTAACCTGTTCAGAGATGCAAGCCAGGTCACAAGACCTGCTGGATGCATGGCCTTGTGTGTCTGGGAGCCTGCCGGGAACTCCCACCCATTTCCAAAGTCATGCCAGCACCTGTGGCAGCCTGGGAGCCCAGACTTCCTGTGGGAGCAGGGAAGGCAGTGGGCCAAGGGGCCCCAGGAGGGAGTGGTGTCTGGCACAGGTAACTGCCTCTCCTGGATCAGCATGGCCTCAGGCTGGTGAACAAGGCCATCAGAGACTGTCAGCTGAGTGTCCCTGGAACCTGGCCTGGCTACCTAATTTGCTGGGCCCAGTGCAGAAAGATAATGAAGCCCTCACTCAGAAATAATTAGGAGTTTTGAGGCCATGAAGGTGGAGCACTAACCTGTCGGGGGGCCTGGCTGCCTGGACCACACCCTTGGAGCCTGCCCTGGAGGTGCCCAACCCATGGGGGCACTGGCACCCCACCTGTCTCTAGGGCAGGGCCTGGCTGTCAGAACCACTGTAGGGACAAGGGCAGGGACACCCTTCCCCAGAAGATAGGCACCTAGGTTGAGCACAGAGTGGCAGAGCCCAGCTTCTACCAAAAGGGCAGGCTTGAGGTGGTGGGCAGATGCCGGCAGCTGAGGGGCTGGGGCAGGTTGGGGAGCAGAGTGCAGTGGGGGTAAGTGAGCAGTGGAGACAGGCATGGGAACAAACTGGCTGGGTGACGGCTGTGGCTGAGCCAGGCCTCAGACTGAGACACTGCTCATCAGCAGTGGTGGAGGTTGAAGGGCACACGCCAGCCCCCTGGGCTCACCTTGGCCGACCGGGCTCATGGCTGGCTGCATCTAGAAGGCATGGGCACAGGATTTGCTGGTGGGCTGGCCATGGACTGAGGAGGAAAACCACTCAGGGCATACCGGGTTTCTGATTCTGCTGCCGGCGTGCACATTGCCATCCTCCTGCATGACCCGAGTTCCCCACAGCGAAAGTTCGTAGGGCTTGTGGTGCCCCAGACACCCGGCAGTGACAGGTCATCACTGACAGCCAGCACAGTCCAGCCCCTACCATCTGCCTTCTAGGACAGTCGTGACCCCCAACTGCAGCAGCTTGGGTTCTCTGGGAAGATGGCCAGCCAGTCTCCTATAGCACCTGGGGGAAGGAAGAAGGAGCAGCATGGAGCATTGGGGTTTCGGGAGGTGGAATAGCCTGTCAGGAAAGTCCTTCACAGGGTCCAAGCAGCAAAGGCCTTTAGCTCCCATGTGCATCACTCACAGGACACCGGCTGCCCCTGGTGTCCAGTCTGACCCCAGCAGTAGGGCTAAAGCCCTTCCTGGGAGGCTGGATGACACCCCTGCATCACATGACCAGCATGCAAGTGGCAATGAGGACAAGGAAGGGGCCCCACATCTGGGCTCTGGGCTCCTGGGATGCAGGAGGTGCAGCCACCGATGGCCACCATGACCTTGGATGAGGATGAGGGTGGTGTGGAGTTCACCACACAGTCGAGTCTCCTGTGAAAGGGTGGGAAGGGGTGGCCACAGGGCAGGCAGGCGCACATGAAGGGGCGGGAAGCTCCTGCTGGATGAGGATAAGGCTGCAGCCACAGCAAGCCCAGTGTCCAGGACTGTGGCGCAAGACTGTGCCCGCTGCCTGGGACAGAGCCACCCATCCTGCGGCAGAGCAGGGCCGCTGCTGCCCTCTGGTGGCGGCCAGCGGCCTCTCCTCCCTCTCCTCTCCTTGCTCTCTGGGTTCCTTCTTAAACCCACCCACCCGGGAGGAGGGCATGTCCTGGGTGTTGATAGGCTGTTTGCACGAGATTCATTTGTGTAAAACTACAGACTTTGGTCACGTGGTCAGAAGGGACCCATCCCTGGAGAGCATATCGTGCTTGGTAAAGTGGAGGGTGAGTGAAAAAGGGGAGGGCCCTTAAGGAGATGGACTGACACAGTGGCTGCAACGATGGGCTCAGGTATAGCAGGGACTGTGAGGCTGGCGCAGGACCGGGCAGTGTTTCATTCTCTGTACACAGGGTTGCTATGAGACAGCCTCTCCGAGGCTGAGGGTCCAAGCAGGTGAGCAGGCAGGCCGCTGGGCCCCCTTGAAGGTGGGACCTGGGCCACCTTGGAGCCACTCTGATGTCCAGCCGGGGACTCTGGGCACAGGAGGCTGAGGGGTGGCTCTGTCTGAAGTAGGAAGGGGGCAGGCCCGACTGCATGTCTGGTGTCCCGAATGGCTGGCCAGACTGCCAGGTCCCAGCTGCTTACTCACTAACAAAAAGATGGCGTTTTCCAGGAAGACGTCTGGGGTTTGTGCTAGGTGCCCATCCTAGCACCTGGCCACAGGCCCTGTTGCCCACCCCTCCCCCCCTGAATAGAGTCCACAATCACCACCATGCCCCCCTTGCTCACCCCATTGATTCAACTGCCCCTCTCAGTAGCTCACCTGGCAAAACTCAAAGACATGGGTAGCCACCCCCTCTGCTGACCCTCTAGACCCAGGCAGCTGAATATGGCTGGAGAAAACCCACACCTGCCAGATCCCATTAAGTGTATACCCTCTCAGCTACAGGGCTCAGAGTAGCATGGTGATCCTGACACATCGCCTGGGTCACCCACTGCTTCTCCTAGGGGACCATTGCCACCCTCTCTTCCTCCCCACCCTCAGTTTCAGCAGAGGTCTCTGCATCCCACTCCACTGAAGAAACGGAACAAAAAGAAGACAGCGTTCTGGGACCCCCACCACCCAATGCCCACCCTAGCACCTGGCCACAGCCCGTTGCCCACCTGTACCCTGGATGCTTACCTGGACTCCTAGCCGTGACATGGCCACTAGACTCACCCTCACCCACTCAAGGCATCACCCACAAGGCCCTGCAGGCCAACTTTGTCCATCACCCCACTGCGCCCCTGACTTCATCGTGTACCAGGTTCCCCTCACTTGCCCATGGGCTCTAGCCCCACCGACCACCAGCCTGCTCCTACTCACTCGCTGGCTGGCTCCAGCCCCACTGACCATCAGGCTACTCCCTGTAGACACATACATTTGCCGTGAGCCTGCCTGCCCTCAGGAAAGCCCGCCCCCCGGGCCCTGCTCCCCCTCCAGCTGCTGCTCCACCTTTCTCATCTTTGAAGGTAAAATTCCAGGGAGAGTCATCCACACGGGCTCTCTCCAGCTCCTCTCCCATTCCACTTGTCCCCACACGCCCCTCAGACAGCTCTTACCCTGTCACCAAGGCCTCCTGTGGTCCACTCCTCCCTCTCCCCTCCACCACAGTCTCTCCCCTCCTCCCACCCCCTCTGCAGCCCCTCTGCCATCCAGCCCTGGCCTCTCCACACTCCCTCCCCCTGGTGGTGCCACCTGGCATCTTGGCCAGTCTGAAAATGCTGAGCACACGCTTGACAACTCCCCAGCACCTGCAACCAGCCAGGTGGCACCCCAGAACCGTGGACTCCACATCTCCACATGTATAGCAAGCATCTCAAGATTAATGGGTTGACTACTCCTGTGGCTTCCAGCCAAACAAAAGACAGGGATACGAGCTGAACATTTACATTAGGTAGATTCACTCCTTGGAGAGAACAATCATGGGAGAATAGAAGGACTGTGTACGCACAAGGAGACAGCTGGGGGGGCAGGAGTGCATGGAGGGAAGGACACAGGGAAGAGGTGGGGAGGAAATGGGAGGGGAGCTGTTGCATTGTGGGAAATTGTAGTTGATGTGTGAGGCAAAGTGTATGTGAGCTGTTGTATGGAAAATGAATTTGCTCTGTAAACTTTTACCCAAATCACAATAAAAATTAAAAAAAAAAATCAACGGGTCAAGAGCCAAACTCTTGCACAGTGATGAATGCCATTTGATGGGTCCTCAAAAAGTTAAATGTAGACTCACCATATTCAGGACCCAGCAATTCCACTCCTGGGTGTGGACCCCAGAGGCTTGAAAGCTGGGACTCACAGATCCTCATAGGTCAGTGTGTGCTGCAGCTAGTCACAACAGCCAAGAGGTGGAAACTACCTATTGTCTATCAGCAGGTGTACATACATACAATACAACATCAGTCTGCTGGACAGTGAGGTGAAGTCCAGGTACATGCCGCGAGGATGAACTGTGACAGCATGCTGAATGAGACCTGCTGACACACACAGTGGCCAACACTGTACGACCACACGTCGTGAAATAACGGAGACCCACAGAGGCCTAGGGACAGGAAACACATTACACATTACCAGGGGCTGGGGAAGGGGGTAGGGGAAGTTCTTGCTGAAGGGATGAAGAGTTTCTGTCTGAAGGGGTGGAAATTTCTGGAAATGGGTAGAGGTGATACTTGCATGAGATGGTGAGTGTGACTCAGTTCCCTGAACTGTACAAGTGAGAACAGTGACAGTGCCAAATGTTTTGTCACAAAGATTTTACCCCAAAAAGAAACACAGTAGAAACAAAAAAGAACCCTCAAAGCTCCTAAATCAGCCCCCAACTCACCCACAGTTGACCTCACTCAGGTAAAGGTACCTCATCCTTCCAGGTGCCCAGAAAGATGGTGTTACCCTTGACTGGCCACCGTCACCACCTCTGTCACAGCCAGCCCGGCCTGGCCACCGTCTGGGTCCCACAGCCTCCTGGCTGGTCTCCTGACCCTCCTGTGCCACCTTTACGACAGAGATCCGGACACGTGACCTCTGAGGGCAGTGATGTCCCTCCTTCCCGCCTCATCTACCATCAGGCCAGCGCCCCACAGCCTCTGCTCTGGGACCTGGCCTGGCAGGATCTGCCCCTTCCTCTTCTGCCTCAGTCTGTCATGATTGTCCCCCTCATTCACCCATTCCTCTTGGCCCCTGGCTCCACTCACAACACCCCCTGTGGCCTCGGCCCCTGCATACTGTCTTCTCTGGTCCGTTCCCTCCACTGCTATCTCCGGCGTCTATGCCCCTGTGCTTCTCACCTCACCATCTCAGTTACCCCCTGGCTGTTCTCTTTCTGGTTAGCACCTGCCCTCCACAGGAATGTGGGCTGACAAGGGCACAGGCCTGTGTCTGTAGCTCCAGGCCTCCAGTGCTGCAAAGCACACTGTGGTGCTCAACATCGGTGTGTGATGGAAGGTGGACATGGCACCAGACCCACCCACGCCTTCCAAGCCCTCAGTTCACTGCCCGCACACCAACCCCAGCTTGTCCTCCCAGGAAGGCCCCAGCTAGGTAGGCTCTGCTCTGGCCCAGAGGGCCAGAGCTCCAGGCAGTAAGGGGGGCCCTGAAGGAGACCAGTGCAGGTAGGGAGGGGGAGGTTAGAGCCTGTAAGCCCATTTTAGGGATGGAAACTGAGGGCAGAGACTTGAGGAAAGGTGGTCAGAGCCAGTAGGTCAGGGGTCAGCCTGCTCTGTGAACAGGACCACATGCATCCAGCTTCTGGGAAGGGAATGACCCCCCCATTGTTCAGTAGAGGAGAAGGCTGAGGGGGTATCAGGAGTGTCAAGGAGCCAGACCTGAGGCTTCCAGAAAGGGGAAGTCAAGGAGGGGGATATTCAAAGAGAGGGGTCCCTTGAGGCTAGGCTGCTCACCAGCTGACAAAAAAGGGTAGGCCGGCTAATTGCTTCCACGAACAATGGCCTCCTTCACTACAAGACCAGAAGAACTGGGTGGTGCCCGGCTACCATCACTGAATGTTTTGATCAAGCTTTCACAGAAGAATTGTGATCGAAAGGAGGAGAAATGCAGAGCAGAATTTCAAATTCTCATGGACTCCAGACTGCCTAGAGTTATGGAGGGTGGATGAAGCCCTGAGACCACTGCCTTGAGCTCTCTGTCCCTGCATCAGCTCAAAACCAATCAACAGTTAACTTCACTAGAAAAGAATGGCTGCCTGGAGCACTGTGCTCTGTTGACAACCATCTTTGTGGGATCAAATCGACACCAACTCAAAGGGCAGGTAGGAACCACAGGGGCAGAGTTTATGCTTATGGGAGAGAAACAACTCGGGAAGGGTGACCATGTGGCTGAACTTGAGGACTGTTCCCAGTGCCACTGAATGGTACATGGAGAAACCAGAGAATCGTTTCACGTTCTGCTGTGTGTGTTCCCAACAACAGCATCAGGAAGATGTATTATTTTAAACAGAAACAAGGGCAGGTTGGAAGGAGGCTGCAGGAAGCAGCCTGAGAGGAGGTGGTTGCCCCTGGGCTGGAGGCCCTGGGCTGGAAGAGGATGCTGCCCAGGGCACACGCAGGCTCCGTACCAGCTCTGCTGGGGACTGTGGTGGGACACCCTCCCCGTGAACCAGGCCCTCTGGGGCAACATCTGACCAGCATGGGGCTGGGAGCTGACAGACACAGGAGCGAGGAGGAAACACATCCAAACACACAGAACCCCTACGGTATCTGCTCCCTCTAGAGCCGCGATTAAGGGACTAGGCCTGAGCTGGGAGCCTGGAGCCCCTGGGAAGACCACTGGCTGCGCTGCCTCCCCACCCCACCCCCGCGGCCTCCTGCGGTCTCCAGACCCACCTCCCCTCGAGCAACAAAGCCCTGTCCTTCCCCAGCCCACACGGGAGAGATCGAGGGCGGTCTGGGGTGCAGTAAGGCTAGAATGTTCCTTCTCACCTGTCCTTCCGCCGGCAGGGGCAGGGATAGGATGTCGACCTCCGGATGCCGGAGGCACCGGGGTCGGGAAGCCTGAAAAGAGGGGGGTCGCGGAGGCCCAAGTAATTGCCCCCGGGCCGCATATGCGATCCGCACCCGGGACGCTGCGGCCATCAGGCTGAGGCCCGGGCCGCAGCTGCCACTTCCCGCCGGGCGCCCCGGGTGGGGGGCTTGCGGGAGACACCCGAGCGCGAGGTAGGGCCGCCTGAATGGTCCCCTCGGGAGCGCACGACCGTGGGACACATGTGTCCGCGCTCTGACGCCTCGTTCGTCAAGAGGGTTGGGGGCCAGGAGGGCGGTGAAATGGACAGAGAGGGAGGGCCGTGGGCAGAGACTGGAGATGGAGGGATGGCCCCAGGAAGAAAGAGTGGAGAGGTCAGGGAATGGGACTGGTGAAGAGAGAGGGACAAAAGGACGGGGCAGGGAGCTGGGATTGAGGAACGGAAGAACGAGGGAAGGGAACAGAGTTGGGGGCCGGAGGACAGAGCGACAGGGTGACTGCACTGAGAGAGGGGGACAGAAGGACGGAACTGGAGGGACAGAGAGATGGGGGTGGGGACAGAGGGTCCAGGAGGAGGCGGGCGAGAGCGGGCCGAGGGAACCGCGCCTGGCAGGTCCCGCCGGCGCCCCGAGGGTCTGCCCGGTAATTAGGCCTCGGTCCAGATGGGCCCCCCAAGTCCTGCAATCAAAATGCTAATTGGCCCCGCGCCTCCGGCTGCGCCTCAGTCCTGCTCTCCTGGGAGCGAGCAGGGGGCGAGCCGCAGGCCAGGGAGACCCCCGCCCTGGCGCCCCCACCGCAGGCCTCGCCGGCTGCGGCTCGGCGATAAGGGGGCGGCCGCGCCCCACCCCGCCCCTCGGGAACGCCTGCCACGCGAGATGGATGTCTCGCCGCTGCCGGGCGGGGCCCCTCACAAAGCGGGCCCGCAGTCTCCGCCGCGCCCCGCGCGCCCCTTGCTGCACGCGCCTGGGACGCGGGAGGAGCCGACGCCGAGGCAGAGCCGACGGGGGTGGAC